TATGGAGAATGGACAGCAAACAAAGGCTTGAAAACATGTGTTTTCAAATTTTTTTATATGGTTAAAATCCAACAACTTTGAATAGAAGATTATGAAGTCTTCTTGGTTATGCTTAGAAATTTGTATTATACTGGTGAGCATGGGCCACCAGAAATTTAAACAAATCCTATCTGCATCTTTTTAAAGAATCAAGTGAACAGAAATTTAGGAGATTGTTGATTGTCAATACAATTATTATAGAGAGGTCCAGTAAGAAAAACCGGTAGGTGTCCACTGGATTTGAGAAGTGAGAACACATTGTGATAGCTGAACTTCCGAATGTAAATCAACACTGTCATGGAAGAAGTGCTGGGGTCTGAATCCAAAAACGTAGGCAAAATTTTTTGTTGTCTTCTTTTGGGGGGATCGTAACTTGTATCAAATGCTTAAAAGTATTTGACCAAAGAAAGGTGACATTCACACCTACCAGTGTATCAAGAATATCCATATAAAGGAAGAGGGTCAAGGAAAGGTCCTTGAGGAGCAAACATTAAACTCTCAAATGGGAGGGTGAGAAAGAAGTACTATTGAGGAAAAAAACAAAACAAAACCCATAATGGTTAAAAAAAAAAAAAAGGCAGTAAACAAAGCCAAGGAAATACGGGATGATAAAGAACCCCTAAAAATTGACTGAAGAACAGGTGAGTATGGGTGTTAACACTAGCTGCAATGGGTTGTGTGGGTGAGCGGTGACAAAATTTTATGAGCTACTCTTCATGAAATTTAACTGGAGATATAACTGTAGTTAGAATGAGACAAAAAGATGTTTAACATACATGTTAAAAGGAGTTCAATGGAGAGACCTGTTGAGAGAGGACGGACAGACCAGAGATTTATCAATAGCACAAAAGGAATAAGCTTTGAAGTGGCAGAGGGGTAATACTTCCTCTGAGATGATCACAGGTACTTAATAGTTGGAACTGAAAATCCAATTCCTAGTTTTTCTTTGAGGTAGGAGGTTGGATACTGGGCAGTGATTTAGATGTGTGGCCCCCAAATTTTGCTGCATTACCATCAGCAAATATTAAGAACAGATGGTCTCTGAAGGGTCTCATTTAGCAGACTCTGAGATCCCTCTACCATTTAGAAAGCTCTAACATGCAAATAATGTCAATTATATCTGAACTTTAAAAACCCCTTGGGTAACTTGAATAGCTAGATCTGATAACTGATCTAGAAAACAACAACTTCGTAGTCCCAAAAGATGGAAAAATAATAGTCAACACCTATCAATGGGAATTAAAACTAGTAAGTAATCTACACTGTAAAGTGTAGCAAGGAAAACCCAAGAAAGCCTCATGTAAGATGAAATATTTTTTGAAGAGCTGAAGTTTGTGAGAACTAAAACATTTCCCCAAACCTGAAAATTTCATTGTTTGTACCCTCTATGTTCTGATTTTAACATAATCTGCTTACTTAAAACTTAGAAGTATTTTCCAGAACAGTAAAGTTAAACCTAAGTTATCTGTTACTTAGCTAAAAATAAGCTTCAGAAAAAAAAAAGACCTACCTATATAATAAAAATTCAGATTTTCAAGTAAAAACTAAACCCAAAATAGACAATTCGTTTTGTTTTCCCAAACTTTGTTTACAACCTGTTTAGCAACTACTAAATACTACAAGAAGTTTATACAAAAATATTCAGAAAAATACATGGCATCTCACTGTGCTGGCAAGTGAAAAGTTTTTAGCAAAGAAGAGATAATCTGGAGGTAGAAATGGAGTCAGGCTATTGTAAAAAAAGAAAAAAAAGGGGGGGCCTGCACTTCTCTAAAAGTAGGGTTTTCTCCTAATCCTATAGAGTTGTGCAGGTGGGAAAGAGCAAGTTAAACAAGAGCAAAAAAGCACCTGCAGGGTGAAAGTTTGGAGAGGTGTCCATCAAAAGGAGAGCAAGAATGCCTGGGAAGCAAGAGAAGAGAGTATTTAGCTATTTAGGCCTAAGGAAGTTGGTTACCAAAACACATTTAATTGAATTTTTGGCCTGGGGTTGGCCCCGCTCCCTCCTCTGGAACTAAATTCAAAGAGCTGATTTATGGGGGATTTAGGCAGAGCCCTCTGGAAAAGCTGAGAGGTGGAACCTTAAGTTTCCTACTTACAAAGAGCTCCATTTCTCTAGAATGCCAAGATTCCCACTTCAGTGTGTTCTGGAATGGTTCACGTGAGACATTTCCTTCAGTCAGTTCCTCACTTACCTTGACATCCTGTGCAACTGGGGTTTTTATATCTTGACTCCTCTGAGTGTTACCAATAATTGGTAACTGCCAAACCAGTGCAAAACACTGCCAAAACCAGTGTTTTTCTTAGCTTCTTAATCTTTCCTGACCCACGTACTCCTTAGAAGTACTTTCTTTTGCTTTATACATATTTTCCTGTGCTTCTGTATTTTTACTTAGAATTTTTGTAAAATTAAAAAAGTCTTTTACATCTTTCTTGTTCTATACTGAGTTAGATCCTTTGAAAAAAAAACTTTAAAAAACTAAATGAGGTTGCATATGTATTGCCTTTTTTCATTCACTTTATCTTTTTCCATGTTAATAACGTATATCTCATTTCTACAACTGTGTAATTATTTCATAGGCATGTAGCATAATTCAGCACTGTTTCACTGAAGTGAAAAGTGTCCTTTTACAACCATAACACTTTGCAATGACTAACCTACTACAACAAAATGTTATTTTGAAGATTTTACAACTGGGTAGTTTCTGACTGAAGGGTAACGTATGTTTAGAGTTTCGAAAGATACTGCCAAATTGTCTTTCCTATTTAATCTCTCACCAGCAGGGTCTTCAGACCTCTTTTAGCACTCTATCCATCTTTTAGTTTTTATCATAGTGCTGTGCAGAGTATTCCTAATGAGTTCAATAAATTTTGTTCACCCCCCCCAACTGAAGTACAGTTGACGTACAACATTCGTTAGTTTGTGTACTTGCTTTTGGTATTTTTCATCACTTTTGTTCATTAGTTTTTCTAGAGTTACTCTTTCCTCAGACTTGGTAATAAACATTGTCTACCTCTGGTCTAAACTTCATGGTAATGTAGCTTTTAAATGTTTATGTTTTCTCTGTGATCTCTGGGGCTTGTATTGCTTAAGAAGGACTTCCTAAGATATAAACAACAAATTCCTGTATTTCCTTCTAGCACTTTGATAGTATCTTTAAAACTGAAATTTTTGCACATGAAAATGAAGAGCTTACATTTCTCTATTTGAAAGGCTACTGCTATAATAAGTGTATACATATATTTCTGAATTCTAGTTTGTTCCACTACTTGTCCAGTCATATTCCAGTTACCTCCCTGTTATACATACCCTAGCTTTATAGTTCTGATGGGTATTTGGGTGAGTTCTCATTCTTATTTAAAAAAAAAAAAAAACATTTTGGTTAATCTTGCACCTACATTCTTTGAGATAAAAAATTGTCTTGTGGAGTGCCTGGGTGGCTCAGTGGGTTAAAGACTCTGCCTTTGGCTCAGGTCATGGTCTCAGGGTCCTGGGATCAAGCCCCACATTGGGCTCTCTGCTCAGCAGGGAGCCTCCTTTCCCCTCCCCCTCTGCCTGCCTCTCTGCCTACTTTCGCTCTGTCAAATAATTAAATAAAATCTTAACAAAAAAAAAAAATCGTCTTGTTTTTCTCCATTAAAAATTGTTACAATTTTTAATTGAAATGCAACAAATTTATAATCTGAGTAGAATCTGATCTTTAAACACTGAGCCTACTCACCTAGGGACAAAGCATATCTTTTCATTTATTCTAATCTTCTGTAATATACATAAAGCTTTATGGATTTTTAATGTAGGTTTGGCTTATTTCTTGATAGATTTCTAGAATGTTTCACCATTGTTGGTGCTAATAGGAGTTCTTTACATTTAAAAGTTAATTATATAGTTTATAAAAAATCATCTGTATCTTGCTGAGAGCTTACCATCTTCCTGACAATGCTGTCTTATGGATTTTCCAGGTAAACAATTTATCTTTATTTCTTCCTTTCTAATTTCATACCTTATCTCACTTATCACTACTATACTGGATCCAAAATTCTCAGAACAATGTTGAATTGTATGAATGACAGAAGATATAACCTGGATCATGAAATTGTTTGTTTACTGCTGGTTGATACCCTTCCTCCAGTTAAGCAAACTTCCTTTTGTTACTTAATATAAATCGTATTTTTAAAAAAATCAGTAAATCTCAAGTGTTTTTTTCAGTATCAATTAAAGTCATAGTTTTTCTCCTTTATCCACTAATGTAGAAAATTTTCATTACTTGTCTGATGTTGACCATCCTTGTACACGTAAGATTAACCCAACTTGGTTATGACATTATTCTCTAAATGCACTGCTGGGTCACAGTCTCCTTAGTTTTTTTTTTTTTTTTTTTTTGCATGTATTTTTAAGTGAGACTGAGCTATATTTTATTTTACTATCTTTTAGAGTCTGCTATAGTTATGCTCCTTTCATAGTTGGGACACACTCCCATTCTTCTCTATGTTTTGTTCCTGGTGACCTTCGTCAGGGATATATAGGGCATTCTTTCATGATTATCAGTTCATTAAGGTTTTCTAACTGTAGAGCCAATTTTTCGGAATCTGTATTTTCCTAGAAAATTGTCCAGGTCAATTTTCAAGATTATCTGTATAAGGCTATTCTAGATTCACTTCCAATTTTGGAAGTCCCTCTTATCTGTAATATGTTCCCTTTTTTCCAAATACTGTTTTCTTCCCTTTTCTTCTTTAGATTTGCTAAGTGTCTATTCTTTTCAAACAGAAGGCAATATTATCAATTTTATTTTCTATTTCATGAATATCTTATTTTTATTCCTTTACGTTTATTTTGGGAGATTTTCTTTTTTCTGCTTCTCTGCTATTTTGGTTTTCTTTTCTGATCCTTCCTGCCATTTGTGCATCCTTTAAGGATGTGCTGACCCTCACTGAATTTACCCATATAGCAACAAATGAAACCTTTACCATTATTATGTAAGTGGCTACAAACTCTCTATTAATTTGGAGTCAGTCAGAGTGGGTTCCAATTCCCCACCTCCTATTATGTGATCTTGGCCAAATGTGAGCAGTTTCTTCATCTGTAAAAACAGAATAATACAGATTAAGTCTGAAACTATTTGTAAATCATTTAGCATAGAAACTGGCCCCTATTAAAATAACTCAATCGATGTCTGATAAGACAAAACACCTCAGTTGCTCTATTTCTAAAAATAAGCAGACTGGGATGACTAATCCCAAATTCCCTCCCAGCTGTAAAAGAGATGATTTTCGGGGCGCCTGGGAGGCTCAGTGGGTTAAAGCCTCTGCCTTCGGCTCAGGTCATGATCCCAGGGTCCTGGGATCGAGCCCCACATCGGGCTCTCTGCTCAGCAGGGAGCCTACTTCCCCCTGTCTCTTTGCCTGCCTCTCTGCCTACTTGTGATCTGTCAAATAAATAAATAAATAAAATCTTTAAAAAAAAAAAAAAAAAAAAAGATGATTTTCATTCTCTCAGTTCATCCACGACAAACAACTGACCATCAAGTCACATGCTACCCACACTACAGCTACTAAGCTCTCCCCTCAAACGAAGTATTCCAAATGTCAGGAACACCAAGAAATACAGCCCCTACCTCCCAGAAGCTCAGAGTCCTTGGGGAGTTAGGGTGAAGATCAACTGTTAAATAAGTAATTTTAAAATAATGTGAAAAGTGGTCTAATAAAGGCTGTGGAAATTCAGAGACTTTGAGAATTATGTCCAGCAAAAATCAAAGCTCTAGGTTGGATACCTAATTCAGGTACTTAATACTTACTAGCTGTGAATCTTCAGGCATTAACTTTGGTGCTTTTTGTCTCTATCTGTAAAAAGGAAGAATAATACGGTTCCGATAGGTTACGTTAAGGATTAAATAACAAAACTAACAGAAAGTACTTAGTACAGTGTCAAACTCACACTCACACAAACTCAGCAAATGGCAATTATTAGTATTATCACTATTACAAGAGGCTATGGAAGTTAAAGTCAACTTACTGTACTTCAAGAGAGATAAGATAGGGTCAAGGTAATTTCCCAAATGTGTTTAAGAACAAAACCTGTGGCAAAGAAAGAAGGAGGGGGAAAAGGGAAAAAAAAAAGTTGAAAGGGGAATTAAGGTGGGTGATACCCTTGGAGGGCCAAGAATTCTACTGTATTCTCTGCTGCTAGCACTAAATCCAACCCATGTATTTTCTTCTTCTTTTAAGAAGGCTCCACGCCCAACGTGGGGCTGGAACTTATCACCCTGAGATCAAGAGTCGCGTGCTCTACCAACTGAGCCACCCAAGTGCCTCACTGCCCCTGGCCCCACCCGGTTATTTTCAATAAAGAGTGAATGGAAGAATATGTTAAGCAATAAGGTTAGATAAGAAGATTTGAGCCAAACTGTTGAAAGTGAACATTTTACATTAAAAGGAGCCTTGGATTTGGGAGTCAGGAACCCTGGGGCAGTCTTTTGACTATTGACCTGCGTTTATACTGGTTCCGTAACTTACCTGTTTGTCCTTAACGAATTACTGATACCTTGAATCGGCTAACCTACAAACCAGAGACAACACCTACCTTAAAAAAATTATTGAGAATTAAGTACCAAGCAATTACCGAAGAGCCTGGCACTAATAAGCATTTAATAATGAAAGCGGCTGCAGCTGCTAACTTTTCCTTTGGGTCTTTCTCCGCACCTGTGAAACGCTAAGGTAAGAACATATTTCCTCCAATGCTCCAGCAAGCACTGAGAAACTATACTAGGTTTGTCAAGGACGAAGAAAGGCCCCACCCGGCCCGCGCGACACAGGTCACCTACGCAAACTGCAGTCCTGGAACCTCCAACCTGCTTCGTTGAGCCATGGAAAGCGCGACGGATGCTAGGCCATTAGAGAAAAAGGGCCTAGATAATTTGGATGTGAAGCCGTACGGAATTTCACAAAAACCTGTCCTTACCACCCTCCGACGTCTCTAGAGGAGAAGCCTAGAAAAAGGTGGAGGGGAAGCCGGAAGTGACGCAAGGCCGTGAGGAACAGGAAATGACCGCAGCACGCCGGAAGTTTACCCGTTTCCAAGGCAGCGGCTCCTGCACACCTCCACCCGGGTGGCTGGAGTCGGGAGGCTGGAGAGCAGCTTGGAGGAGAGGGTACTAGCCCACGGCGGCCGCCGCCGGAGCGACTCGCGGGGAGTAGCAGCCGAAGACGGCGGCCGCCTCAGTAGCCACCGCGTGTGGAGGATAAACGGCCGACACGGCCAACGCCGGGGCCAATTAAGGCAGAGAGTTAGCGAAGACCAGGACTGTAGTCCCAGCGAAGACAGGGAAAGAATCCGTGAAGACGGCGGCCACCTCTGTAGGGACTCTAGCAGAAGACTAAGTGAAGACATCGGTTTCTCCGGCAGTGACTCTAGAAGAGTCAGTGAAGACCTGGGCAGTGTCTCTCGGGAGAGAGTTACGGGAGACGGTGGGCGCCGTCCCAGTAGGTCCTGGGAGAGAGTAAGGGGAGACCAAAGCTTCAGCAGCAGCGACGTGAATTTAAGTGAAGTCGGGAGCCACCAAACTAGTGACTGCGAGGGACTGGTCAGAGAAGACCGCGGCCTGTGCTTCAGTGATTCTTGGGAGGGTGTCAGAGTAGTCCCGGACCCCCAACCCAGTCACTCCGGGGAGAGAGGCAGTGACTACTGCAGACGCCGCCTCAGTGACTCTTGGGAGGAAGGGAGTGTCGATGGCGGCCACAGCCTCAGTAATTCCTGGGAGGGAGTAAGTGAAGACCGCGGCTACGCGGCTAGCGACTCCTCCGGGGTGAGCGTCAGCGTAGACGCCAGCCGCTGCCTCCGTGGCTTCTGGGAGAGAGAACGTATAGACGAGGGCTTCCGCAGCAGGAACTCTTGGGAGAAAACCCGGGAGGATCGGGCACCCGATCTTAGCGACGACGAAGGCAGCCACTGCAATGGCTCGTGGGTGACAGCAAGTGAAGACCGCCGCAGCAGCGGGGGCCTGGACTCAGGTCCTCCCCGGAGTCGGAAGGATCGCACCATGCCAGGGGTGTCCGATTCAGGCCCTTCCACCTCCTCTAGGGAGAGTGCAACCCCGTGTGAGTCAGACTGCTTCGCTTGCCTTTGTCTCTGCCACTCTTTTCTGATTTCATCCATATCTGCTTTGGCCCTTTCTGGCAGTTTCCTTTCTCAGCTGTGACTCCTAATTTCCCTTAATTGACTTGTTTTAAGTGGGTCCCAAAGCTCACCTGTTTCTCATCCTCTTTCACTCCAGCTTTCCTCTCATTCTTTCCACCTGCGCTATTCCTGAGACTTCTAGTCCAGACTGACATAAACGCTTGTTAAATGTTAGACTCGTGGCTTCTCTGCAACATTTGACCCTGTGGAGATGACTTTAGACTTACCTAGTTTTCTTCCTTCCACTCCATTGACTCTCCCTTTCCCTTAGTTAACTTTTCTTCCATCCTCTCCTTAAATCTGTTATTTCCCCCTGGATGATGCCATCACTGGTGCTTTTTTCCCTGGTCGTGTGCTGTTATTGAGAACTGACCGGGAAACTTGTGGCTGTGAGATTCTTGTGCCATCTTGGTTTGAGCAAAGACTATTGATAACACCCTTAATGACTTAATTTTTTGAGGTTCAGCCATTTTCTGTGATATATTATAGCCCCCAAAGAAAAATACTCCCAAACATTCAAGGCCAGGTGGTATGGTTTCTTATATCCTGTTCACTGTCTTAGCTTCTGCCTGCCAAGCACTGTGATAATATTGAATAAGGAAAGGGTTAAGGTGTAGGCAGGGAAAGATATTATGACAGTGCTTGGCACACGGTAGATGCTCAGAAAGGATTTTTGAGTAAAATGTGCAGCATTTTGTTAAGGAGTGATATAAGATATACTAGCCCTCAAGAAATTAGCATTTGAGTTGTGGAGAAAGGACATATACATAGATAAATAGTAGTATAGATTGCATAGATTATCTACCAAAAATTCAAAAACCATTTGAGGTCAGGAATTGTGCTTTTTTGTTCAGGATATACTTTGATTAAACTCTCTACTTTTTTCTCCTCCAACAACTGTTCGTGCTTAGGTACCTTTGTTGCTTCTGGCTTAAGATACACATTAAAATATTTCACAGTCACAATGTAGTCTTGATGTTTGGAACATTAAATTATAAAATATAAGACCACTGGAGTGTTATGAGGTAAACATTGTGACCTGCCTTTCCTTTCTTAGTGTAGTACATATGAGAAGGATAAGAAATATAGATTGTAGAATATATCAGCCTATGTGAGATAGGGCTCTGGTAAAATCACTGGAGAGTTAGGCCTCTCTTGTGGAGAATGCACTGGGTGTATTTCAGAATGGTTACTTTCCCCCTTTCCCTGCCAAAGACATGAAGTGATTCTTCTTTTCACAGTGATAACCTGGTGGGATTTACCCTGGTGGGGTAAAATCTATGAAAATGTGGGGGCCTTCTAAGACTGTAGCCCCAGAGAGTTTCTCACTCGTAGTCTAATACTTGCCCAGCCTCTAGCAGTTTGTCAAAATTACCATTTCAGTGCTTCGAAGTTTATGGCTCCAGTGGCTTTTGCTCCAGGTAAGCTGAACTTGTTTGTGTTTCTCTGTATTTGTGTGTCTCTCCAGACTCAGGGAGGCAACTGGCTCTGAGACCTTGGTTCTCTGATGAATCCAAGAAAAGTTGTTGATTTTCCTTTTGTCCAGCTTTTTCTTTACCTATGGGAGTGGTAACTTCTGTGCTGTTTATGTGTTAGAGCTGAAATGGAAGTGTGATTGAAATGTTAATCACAAACATCTTTGTAGTAAATTGTTTGGAAAGCCAAAGTGACTTTGTGCTTTCTATTGAATCATTGCTTTAGTTTTTTTTTTTTTTTAAGTTTTGTGATATACGTTAATTTGATTTTCATAGGTGCCCGGAAGAAAGTGCATTTTGGTAACATACATGATGCTGTACGGGCTGGAGACGTAAAGCAGCTTTCAGATATAATAGAACGAGGAGCCAGCATAAATGAAGCAGACATTCTCCATAAGTTTTCCCCTTTACATTGGGCAGCACATTCTGGAAGTTTGGAGGTAAGAGGCTGTACAAATTATTAAACTGAAGTAAGTTTACAACTGTTAGCAATTTTGAAATTTAGCAAATAGGACTGAGACTTTATGCTAGGCACTGGAAATATTTTTTCTTTTCATTTCATTGTAATATTTGTTGTTCTGGTTACTGTGCCTTTGTAACAAATTGTCTCAAAAGGTAGTGGCATGAAATGACCATTGGTGCTCAGGAGTAAATTAGGAGTTTGGATCTCAGGGACAGCTTGTCCTGTTTTGTGATGTGTGGGGCTTCAGCTAGATTTAAATGCTGAGTCTGGAATCTTCTGAAGGCTTGTTCATGCAGGTGTCTGGTAGAAGATGCTAGCTATACCCTGGCCACCTTAATTCCTCTCCATGTGGGTTTTTATGTGAAGTCTCTCCACCTGGGCTTGTTTGTGATTCCTCACAATGTAGTTACTGTGTTCCAAAGGCAAGCATGGAGGGTAATTTACAGAGGGTAGCATGTGAATATCCAGTTCTGTCAATCCTAAAATTTTTCCTATAGTTATTTTAGATTTTTTTAAAAAGAGATGGAATATTATAGTTGCGTGTGAAGTCCCTTAGCACCCCCCTCAGGTGCCATTCCTTTCCTCCCAACTCATATGTTGTTATTACATATGCTTATAGCATTGTTTTTAATGCATTTTATGTAAATGACATCATACTATGTGTATCATCTTGTAGCTTTTTGTGTTCAATGATGTGTTTTTGAGTCTTAGCTATGTGGTTACATTTATGTACTGCATTTCTTTGAGACATGTTACAATACCATCTACTTAGATTAATATCAGAATTTATCCACTTTTTGATAGATGGCTATTTAGTTGGTTTCCATTTTCAGCTAGTACAGGCAGTGCTTAGTGAATATTTTTATGCAGACTTTCTCTTGGGTTGTGTGCAAAGCCACCTGGACTTTTTCCTCATGATTCAAAATTGTGTGGAGCTTATTTTCGTGACTATAGCCTGTACGCTGTAGTGGTTCTGTTCAGTACAAATTCTCTTATTGCCCCTGACACACAGAGACTGTTTTCTCTGAATATGGTTTCTCTGTGTGATTTCCTGTTTGGGCTTCTCTGCTTCTTGGAACCAAATCTAGTCCTGAGGATTATATTAAATAGCTTGAACTTTATCCTGTAGGGGATGGGACATGGACTGAAGGAAGGTTTCAAGTAATATCATATATTAGTTTGAGAGCAATAATTTTATACTCTCCACCAATTTGTGTGCCCTGCTTGAACTGTTGTAAACAAGGATTTTTGCTTTGGCCTTTTAGTGGCTCCCTTTCACCTAGCAGAAATGTGCCTTGACAGTTCTTTGTGAGTTTATAACCCTGGGTGGGTATTTTTTTCTGTTTCCTTCCACATCCCTTCTGGGTCCCACTTTGGTGGATTTCCCATCTGTTCTCTGGCCACAGATGTCAGTCCTAGTTTCATCAAAGATGGGGTATTCTTCCTGCTTTTCGTGCCTTTTTTTTTTTTTTTAATGATTGCTAAGAGAGGAAGAACTAGTGATCTTATTCTGCCATAATCAAGTAAGATGGGGTTTCCTCTCTATCCTGGTATCCTTCATCCTTTCTGATTACTCTTGGTCTTTTTTGATTAACTTCCTCTGCCTGCTCTACAAATAGAGGCATTTTTTATTCCTCTGCTAATGACCTTTTCTCTCCTACTTTATATCCTTTAGGTCGTCTTTTAGAGTTCCTTGGCGTTACTGCTACTACAGAATAATTCATTGGTTTGGTTTTTCTTTTGAACTCTGGCTTATGTACCAGGTGCTTGATCAACACCTCAGGCATATCTGATAGGATATCACATTGGTCTAAAACTAAACCAGTATCCTTTTCCCTCCCTTTCTTAGTTTTCCAGGCTAATGACTTTGCATCATTATTGACTTGTCTCTGTTTTTTCCAGAAGCAAACACAGTGTCAACATTTGTCTGAAGGTGTACTTCATAATGCACGTTGATGCAGTGAGAACTGATTACCAGATCCTTGATTTTGTTCCATCTTCGTCTCCTGAGTTTGTCCTCTCCATCCTCCTAGCCATTGCTTTAGATCTAATTGATTTCTTCTGTCTCATCCACCTTTAGTTCATATTCAGTATAAAGTTAACCCTCTAAAACTAATATCTGATGTTATTTGAAACCTTTCTTAAGTCCATGTAGTGACGCACTCCCCCGTAAGTTATTATAAAGTTTAAGATATTTACTAGAAGGGACTTCTCTCTCCAACCTCATCTCCCATCATACTTGTTTTACTCTGTAGTAGTGGTGATTACTGTCATGTCCTACACAAGTCTGCTGTTTCATGTTACCGTAAACTTATGTTGTTTTTATCTGCTTGGTCTCATCTCTTCTTACTGGTTACTTGGTTGAAAACTAGGCCAGGCAGCACCCACTTGGTAAAGCCTCTGTGTTCCCCACTCCCCCTTATTTTCCCCAATAAACTACCTAGGATCTACCCCTAAGTCTTACACATATTTTAAAAATTGTATTTGTTTGTATTTATCACATTGAATTTATCACTTTGAACCTCTTTTAGAGTTTTGAGCTTTTTGAAGGTACCATTTAGGTTTTATTCCTCTTTTTTTCCCCAGCATCTGGCATAATGTCTGGCATATTGGATTCATAATAAATGCTGGCTGTATTGCTGAGTTTTTTGATTTTTAAAAAAATTTTTAAATTTTTATTTTAAGTGTCTAGAACAGTGTATAACAGATATTCCAGAAATATTTGTTGAAATTTTAACAAAAATAAATCTAAACCAAGAGATTTAGGTGACTTTCTACCTTCCCATGTGAAGATCATCTCCTAATTATCTACTTGAGTACTACATTAATGCTTTTACATTTTGTTATCCTTTCTGAAAAAAAATTTTTTTTTGAAAGACTTTATTTGACACAGAGAGTGCGAGAGAGGGAACACAAGCAGGGGGATTGGGAGAGTGAGAAGCAGGCTTCCCGCTGAGCAGGGAACCTGATGCAGGGCTCCATCCCAGAACCTTGGGATCATGACCTGAGCCGAAGGTAGACATTTAATGACAGAGCCACCCAGGCACTCCCTTTCTGAAATATCTTAAGACTGTGGTACTTATGTTGGTAATATGAAATGGTCACTAAATAAACAACTGGTAAAACCTGCTTTATTAGACTTTAGTTCTTTTCTTTCTGTCAGATGATATCAGTTCTTGAGCCCCCTATGGTAAACTTTATTTCAGGTATATTTTTCGCTGCCAGAATTTCTTTTCCTTCTTTCTTTTTTTTGAAAAAATAATTTGTCTCTTTGTACATTTTTTTCTTTTTTTTCAATTGTATTACATCTTTCACATTTTGAAGTTAACTTTGGAAATACAATAATATTTCATGTATGTGGATGGGAATCAATATTTGAATATTCATGGTCACAAAATAATTAAAATTATTCAAAATTAAAATGAATCTTTATAAATAAATGTATTATAATTAAATTATAGTCTCAAAAGCACAGATATTTATAGTTTTATTTAAATTTCATAAAATTTATTTTTATCCTGAACGTTGAAGTTGAATTATTTCCCAAACATATTGTGAATTAGGCAAAACTTTAATTCAGTTAACACATTTTTATAAGTGTTTGTGTGTAAAAAATTGTTTTTAAGGATTTTATTTATATATTTATTTGACTAAGAAGGAGAGAGTACAAGCAGGGGGAATAGCAGAGGGGGAAGGAGAAGCAGGCTCCCTGCTGAGCAGGGAGACTGATGTTGGGCTCTGTCTCAGGACCCTGGGATCATGACCTGGGCTTAAGGCAGATGGTTAACTGAGCCACCCAATGGCTCACCACTGAAGATTTTATTTTGTTTTTTTAAAATAATCTCTACACCCAACATTGGGCTTGAACTCACAACTTGGAGTCACATGCTCCACTGACTGAGCCAGGCAGGCACCCATATATATATTTTTTCATAAGTGTACTCTTTAATCCCCATCACCTGTTTCAGCCACTCTGTACCTACTGCTTCTCTGATAACTATCATTTTGTTCTCTATAGTTAAGAGTCTGTTTCTTGGTTTGTCTTTTTTTCCTTTGCTCATTTTTTTTTTTAAAGATTTTATTTATTTATTTGACAGACAGAGATCACAAGCAGGCAGAGAGGCAGGCAGAGAGAGAGGAGAAAGCAGGCTCCCCTTGGAGCAGAGAGCCCGATGTGGGGCTCAATCCCAGGACCCTGAGATCATGACCAGAGCCGAAGGCAGAAGCTTAACCCACTGAGCCACCCAGGTGCCCCTGCTCATTTGTTTTGTTTCTTAAATTACAAATAAAAGGTAGATCATATGGTATTTATCTTTCTCTTATTTCTCTTTGTCTGTATTTTCTATTGGATGAGTCATTGTCATCATACTTTAATTCTTTAAATATAAATTCTTTTAAAAATAGTTTCAGTTCTCTGGAGCTATTTATAATAGCTGCTTTGAAGTCACACTAAGTCCAACATCTGGGCCCTCTCAGAGATAGTTTCTATTGATTGTTGTTCCCCCCCCCATGTATGGGTCACACATTCTTTGTATAATTATAATCTCGTAATTTTTTGGTTTGCCTAGACATTTTGAAAACCGTACATTTTAGATTATCTATTGTAGCAGCTTTGAATTCTGATCCTATTCACTGCATTCCTCCCAGATGTGCTTATTGCTATGTATTTGCTTGTTGACTTGCTTGGACTAATTGTGTGGAGTCTGTTTCCCCACAATATGTAGTCACTACTCCGTTTTTTTAATTTGTTTGTTTTGGTTTTTAAAAATTCTTGTTAGTATTTTTAAGTCTGTCTAGGGGTCACTCTTGGGTCAGTGATTGATCAGAGGTTGTGCTTGAATACCTTTACCTAGTAAGGATTCATCTTTTGCTGAGTCTGTGTGTGGCTTGGAGAATGTTTTCAAAGTCCAAACAGTTTACAGGTCAACTTGACTTTCCTTTTTTGTTTTTGTTTTTGTTGTTGTTGTTTTTTCCCAAATGTGTTTGCAAGGCCTTAGGTTTAGCCAGTCATGTCTAGCCAACTTGGGCCCTCTTCAGTCTTTCCTGAATATAAGCAGGTTTGTACATGTACCTGGCCTTGTAGATGACAAGGGTTAAAGGGAATCTTAGCAAGGCCCACTTGTTGTCTCATTTCTTGGCTTTTGTCCATTAATTTTCTGGGTGGTCTTTTGTTGTCTGTCTTCACCACTATTGTGACTTCAGGTGAGCGCTGATGTTGGCTTTCCCACGTTTTTGGCGCCTAAGTTTGGAATTGTTTTTGACTTTGTGCGTGGGCATGGAGTCTTCATTCCTTCCAGCAGGGCAATGGAGTGGTCCAGCTGGGTAGAACTTCTGTACCATGTAGCTCGGGTTAGGGATAGTTGTAGTCCCAAGCTTTCTGACTCCACCTGTTCTTATTGAGATTCAGAACATTTTCTTGAGTTAACGCTGCTTTTTTTTTTTTTTTAGTGCCTCTGACAAATTCTCAGAGTATTTACACTCTTGTTTTTGACAACTTTGTCTAGTTTTTTTTTTTCTTTTGAAGATTGTATTTATTTATTTGAGAGAGCGTGTGCATGCACACACACACGAGTGGGAGGAGGGGCAGAGGAAGAGGGACAAGCAGAATCCCTGCTGAGGGTGGAGCCTGACTCAGGGCTCAATCCCAGGACCCTGAGATCATGCATGACCTGAACCAAAGTCAGATGCTTAATTGACTGAGCCACTGAGGAGCCCCTACTTTGTCTAGTTTTATCACTGCTTCTTTGGGGGGATTTTTCAAGCTCCTCACTTAGCCATTTCTGGTTCTTAGCCACATCAGTAAGATTGATCAGTTGATTTAAAAAAAAAAAAAGATTTTATTTATTTATTTGAGGGAGAGAGAGAGAGAGCACAAGTGGCAGGGAGCTGGGGGTGGAGCAGAGGGAAAGAGAGAAACAGGCTTTCCGCTGAGCAGGGAGTCCGATGTGGGACTTGATCCCAGGACCCTGAAATCATGACTGAGCTGAAGGCAGGCATTAACTGACTGAGCCACCTGGGTGCCCTGATCAGTAGACTTTTGACAAAGATGCAAATAAGGTCCAGTGGAGAACAGATAGTGTTTTCGTTAAACGGTACTGGCACAATGGAACAGTCATGTGAGAAAATGATATATTTGGCACTTTATGTAAGAATGTATTCAAAACAGATCATAAACAAATGTAACATTTAATGTTCTAAAGCTTCTAGAAGAAAACATTAGAGAAAAATCTTTGCAAATCACATCTCTAAGAATTTGTAACCAGAACATATGAAACTCTAATAGTTCCATAGTAAGAAATAAAAAAGCTCAATTAAAAAAATGGGCAGATGGGGTGCCTGGGTGGCTCAGTGGGTTAAAGCCTCTGCCTTTGGCTCGTGTCATGATCTCAGGGTCCTGGGATTAAGCCCCTCATTGGGTTCTCTGCTCAGCAGGCAGCCTGCTTCCCCCTCTCTCTCTGCCTATCTCTCTGCCTACTTGTGATCTCTCTTTCTGTCAAATAAATAAAATCTTTAAAAAAAAAAAGGGTCAAATGACTTTGACACTTCGAAGGGACATGTGGATGGCAATCAAGCACATGAAAAGGTATTCAACATCATTAGCCATTAAGGTAATGTAAACTAAAAACACAATCAGATGCCAATACATTCCTATTAGAATGGCAAAACAAAAAACAAAAAATAATACTACCAATATTGGCAAGAATATGGAGCAACTACAACTCGTATATACTGCTAGTAAAAATGTAAAATGGTATAGCTACTTGGGAAAAGAGTGTGGCTGTTTCTTATAAAATCAAACATATACTTACCTATGTTCTGGTAGTCCTACCTACATATTTACCCAGGAGAAATAGAAAACTTGTTACATGAATGTTTCCAGTGGTTTTTATTTTCCTGTAACTGAATAATGTTAGCATGTAGTAGTCTCTCCATAAATATTTGTTGATAAATGGGTGACTTACTGTGATTAGTAGTGACACTGAGCTTTTAATAAAAAGATTTTAAATCTTTTTATTTTCTTGGCCACTTATCTCTGTGACAGGCCTGTGATAAGTAAATGTTAAGCCTTTCAACAAATGATAATGGCTATGACTGATATGACAGTATATACTAAAGATACAACCAATTCTTTAGAGTTTCTTGAAGATAGAATCCCCAAACTTGAATATAAAGACTGTAACATCATATGTGGCACAGAACTCTAGTACTGTATTCTATTGAGATTTACATTGTTAAAATATTAAATGAAGATGCATTTGACTCTCCCCCTTTTTTTTTGTAAGCCACTTTTTTTCCTTTTTTTAGCAAGTATCACCAAAATAACAATGTTTGCTCTGATACAGAAGCATCCAGGCTCATTTAAAGATTGTGGCAGAGGTTGCAAACTGGCAGCGTTTGAGTGAATATGACTCACAGATGTGTTTTGTTTGGCTTACACGGTCTGGGTGAAATACAAGATTTGGATTAACATTTCACTTACGGTAACAACTAGCTGGGATTAAGCAGCATTTATACCTTATGGACAAGGAATGGGATCTCCAGTTTGCGACAGCTTCCACTGTTCCCTATTGTTGACCCAATAATAAGGCCAAATGGGGGTTACCATATCATTGTTCTTATTATGCTTTTGTTCTTCTTAAAACTAGCCCCTTCATTTACTTATGATGCTTCTCAGGCTATGGTATTTTATGATGATGGACTAAATGTCAAAGATCTAAAGATGTTTAAAAAAAAATCTGCCTTATAACTTGTTAACATGGTTATTTTCTTAATTTAGTGTCTTCATTGGCTCCTCTGGCATGGAGCGGATATCACACAAGTAACCATGAGAGGCTGGACAGCAGCTCACATAGCTGCAATCAGAGGTCAGGATGCTTGTATGCAGGTAATAATAATTTTGATTACTTTTAAAAAAAATCAGTACATTTAATAACTTTAGCTTAATTTTGTTGGGCTATTGTTTTTATTCTAGTAATATGACCCATAGATTTAGTTCTTTGTCCTAAACAAGTACTTACTGAATTCCACGGCTCAGATATTTGGTACCAAATACAGCTTAAACAAATTGTGTTAAGACTGGGATCCTTTTATCTTTGAAGTAATTGGCTATCTGATAGGTCGTTTTAAAGGGATGTCTCAGACATGTCCCGATTATCTCCTTAATAGCCTGTCATGCCTAAAATTTCTTATTTAATGTATTTCCTGGCCAGAATTTCACATTAATATGTGCAGGATCTAGCTTATTAGATTAACTAGATATAATCAATGTACTGAAGTAGACTGGAATTTGGAGGAATACAAAATTGTATAAGCAAACAGTTCCTGCCTCTAAGAAGCCCGAGATTCTACTTGGAATGAGAGGTTCTCTACTCAGTGAGTTACAAAACAGTACAAAGTACAGTCTATGATTAAGGTTTTAATGATTAGAAGGAGATAGAGAAATCATTAATGGAGACAATAAAAATTCAATTAAGCTGAAAAGAACAGGTTGATTTCAGAAAGTAAGGAGCAATGAAAAATTATTATTATTTTTTATGTGAGAATTATAAGTTTCCCATTCATCACTTCATTTAATACAGTAATCTTAGGAGTTCCCCTTTTTATAGATAAAGAATCAGATTCTGAAACTTAAGTACCTTGCCTAAGTAAGTGACAAAACCAGAATTTGAACCTAGGTTTTATTCTATGAATCTCTATGCTCTAATTCTATGTGTAGTACTTAAATTGGAAAAATTAGGTGTGTTCAAGGGGTAAACTATTGTATGAGCTTGACTAAGTTGTAGATGTTTTGTTGTTGTATACTGTTATGAATTAAGTTTGGATAGCCAGGTATGTAAAATGTCTTAGAAGTAGAATTAAGATTCATTTGTGTAAGAGAGTTTTTATATGCATACTAATATATACTCTTACATATACATATATCACACATGCATAATTATGCATACATACACATGCACATTAACAGAGGACTGAAGTAATGAAAGCAGTATTTCAGGAAATTATTCTAACAAGATGTATCTGGGCTTACCTAGGATGAGGGCTTACCTAGGATGAGGCTGGGCTTACCTAGGATGAGGAAACAGTTTGGAGGGAAGAAGACCAGTTAGAGACTTTTGGTGTCATCACTACCCACAGAGGGAGAAATTAGGTGGTAGCAGTGGAAAAGAAAGAAAATGATAGAAGCCATCTTGAAAAGCAGATGTTGATATAATTGAGTGAAAATTTTAAAGTTTTAAGGCAGTATGGCAGATAATAATGACACTACAGATAGGGAAATCTAAAAAGCAAGGGAGATATGGGAGCAAAAATGTTGAATTCATTTTGGTACATGTTGTTTAGGGGGCTTATAGGACATTTGGGTGCAGAAGGTCCAGGCAGTTGAAAAGGGTGCTGGAGACAAAAATTTAAGGAATAATAATGTATAGAAAAGAGAATAGAGTGTTGAAGATTGAATGTTGAAGAATGTTACTAGTAGTGATGGTAGGAAGCAGAGAAATGAGTAAAGAATTTGGAGGAGGAAGTCAGATAGAGAGCGAGGATGCACTGGACTGTGCAAATGAGGGAAGGATAGTTAGGCTGAGTGTCAGAGTTATGGGATGTAAGGAAATGCCAGTGGACTTGAGAGTCACTATAGGGTGAGGTTTGCTGAATTTCCATGTAGTGGTAGGATGCCACCTTGTTTGAAGGTTGATTTGGAGTTGAGGCATTAATTTGAGAAGTAGGCAGTGAAAAAGGAAATAAAATAGTAACTTCAGGGGATATTGGGGTCAAATAAAGCTTTACTTGATGCTTTCCTTCCTCTAAGCAATCAAACCATTCCCATAGTCCTGATTGTCCTTGTCTCCCTCAAAGTGATCTTCATTCTCAGAGATTTTGTGGTATTTTTTTTGTACTGTACTGTGTAGTTGTTGATTATCAAGGACCGGTTTGTATAATTGATTATCATTGTCTCTACATATGTCCTAATTCTCTAAGTTGACCTATCTTCATATTCCTTGTAGTGATTTTTAAAGTGCAGTAAATATTCAGTGTGTGCTTTGTGATTATTGACTAGTTTGTTAATTATGAAGACTATTCTTAAAGCTTTTAATATGAGTTATGATGGAGTCCTTTGCTAAGATACTGGTAAATACAGACTGGTTAAAAAAGGTTTAAGGGAGGGGTGCCTGGATGGCTCAGTGAGTTAAGCCTCTGCCTTCGGCTCAGGTCATGGTCTCAGGGTCCTGGGCTTGAGCCCTGCATCGGGCTCTCTGCTCAGTGGGGAGCCTGCTTCCCCCCCGCCCAACCCCTGCCTACCTCTTGGCCTACTTGAGATCTGTCTGTCAAATAAATAAGGTCTTTTTTTAAAAAAGGTCTGAGGGAGTAAAACTAAAAAATATTAACTAGTAATTCTTTTAAACAGATTACTCGGTATATTACATAGAGGGGTGTGCTGTGTTTATGATATAATCCTTATACAGAAACTACGCTTATTGAAAATTCAGATGGAATTTCCTCAGATGCAGTTAGAAATTTGATTTGGAGCTAGAACGAGTTACTTTAATAATAAAATCCTCCTATAGTATATTCAAAACCTAGTTAATAAAAGATTCCGCTTTTGAAATAGTGACAGTTTACTTTTTAGTTTATTAGTTTAGTATTAAAGTATTTAGCTTAGTGGTTATTAATCTCTGTGTACCTTATAAATCGTATGTACATGTTGAAATCAGAATGTAAAATCCGGTATTATAAATATCTCGTAGGCAAGGTTAAAAAAGATCTCAAGCATTTTCTTAAGATTATCTAAGAATTTCTCATACTTTATCTATGACACATGTATAAGAACTTACATAATAATGTAGCCATAGGTTGATAAATTGCTTGCCTATTACACATCTGCATTCATGATTTAACATTTATATTTAGGTACACTCACTGTTATTTCTGTTTTTAGGCTCTCATAATCAACGGGGCAAATCTGGCATCTCAAGATGATCGTGGATGCACTCCTTTACACCTTGCTGCAACACATGGACATTCTTTCACTTTACAAATAATGCTCCGAAGTGGAGTGGTGAGAGATTCCTGTTAATATGCGAGAATGTGTGATCATATAGATGGAATAGCATTTAGTAGCCTAGTTATCTCTTCCTGACTTTTTAAATCCCTTTTATGATCAAAGTAATTTGATCTCTCTCTTTAGCTTTTCTGTCTTTAAACATAGGAGCGATAATTTAGATAAAGCTTCAAAAAATCGCAGTTTAGCAGTACAAAGGATTTCAGAGGCTGGGGGTTCTTCATGTCGGTTCAGAGTTTAACTGGGAAGATTCTGAAGCTTCCAAACCCATTTCAGCCAGTGATTATATATCTTTCTGAATTTCTGTGTATTTACCTATTTCTTTGTAACTTATTTCATACACTGATTTAGAAGGTGATTTTTATCTCCAGAAATTTCATTCATTGTGATATTTATTTTCATTATTACGTAGTGGTTGTAAAAAAAAAAAAAAAACCTAGAAGAACTACTTTTATTGAAGACATTATGGTAAGAGTTGGTGTTTCTATAATTAGAGAAAAAGTGAAGGGCCTATTAAGTATTTTTTATTAACTCTTTATGCTTTCAAGGATATGATTGGACCATGGAATCTTTCCCTTTCATTTTATTGGTCAGAAGCCTATGACCAGTAAAATGACTAGTTAAGTTCCCTTTTTCCCCCTTGAATATTTATTTATTTATTTATTTATTTATTTTAAAATAAATAAATCTTCACATTTATTTATTTTAAAAGATTTATTAGAGGGAGAGAGAGCATGAGTGGGAGGGGCAGAGCAAGAGGCAGTGGGAATCTCAAGCAAACTCTTTGCTGGTCACTCAGCCACACGTGCGGCTTGATCCTACAACCATGAAATCATGACCTGAGCGGAAACCAAGGGTGTGATGCTCAATGGACTGTGCCACCTGGACGCCCCATGATTTATTTATTAATTTGAGAGAGGGAGGGGCGGGGTATGGGAAAGAGGGAGAGAGAACCCCAAGCCGACTCTATGCTGAGTGCGGAGCGCAGCTTAGCCAGAACCCGCTACCTGAGCTGAAACCAAGAGTCAGGCACTCAACCGATGTGCCACACAGGCACCCTTAGTTAAGTTCCTTTTTTAAAAAAACTATTTTTATGGGGGCGCCTGGGTGGCTCAGTGGGTTAAAGCCTATGCCTTTGGCTCAGGTCATGATCCCAGAGTCCTGGGATCGAGCTCCGCATCGGGCTCTCTGCTCAGCGGGGAGCCTGCTCCCCCCACCCCCACCACTCTGCCTGCCTCTCTGCCTACTTGTGATCTCTGTCAAATAAATAAAATCTTAAAAAAAAAATCAAACTATTTTTATGGATCAAGTTATGTTCTTTTTAAAAAAACTATTTTATAAAATTTTATTAGGCTTTATTAGCTCATGTTTAAATCAGTGGTAGTAGTAAATTTTCCTACTACATTTATTGTTTGCCTTATAGGTCTTTTTTGCCTTTTTTTTTTTTTTTTTTTTTTTCCCTTTAGTTTTTATTTGCAGAATTAAGCTGCTAGACTTACTGTTTCTCCTCAAATGGAAAGAAACTGAGTTCTTGTGAATGTTATCCCTAGGATCCCAGTGTGACTGATAAGAGAGAATGGAAGCCTGTGCACTATGCAGCTTTTCATGGGCGACTTGGCTGTTTGCAGCTTCTAGTTAAATGGGGATGTGGAATAGAAGATGTGGACTATAATGGAAACCTTCCAGGTATTCACAAAAGCAAATGTTTTAGTTTTTCGTTAATGTGAACTTTTAAATGATTGATTGTGTTTAAGAAATTTAAACTGTTGGGGCACCTGGGTGGCTCAGTTGTTAATTATCTTGACTTTGGCTCAGGTCATGATCCCAGGGTTCTAGGATTGAGCCTCATATCAGGCTCCCTGCTCAGCAGGGAGTTGGCTTCTTCCTCTCCCACTCCCCCTGCTTGTGTTCCCTCTCCCACTGTCCCTCTCTCTGCGTCAAATAAATAAATAAAATCTTTAAAAAAATTTTTTAACTGTCATCATTCTAACATCCCTTCAGAAAACTAAAGTAGTAAATATGTTGTCATGAACATTTTTTATTCTTAAGCCTGTGTTATATACCTGTCATGTGATTTTCTTTCTGGAGCCATATCAGCAAAAGAGAAATTGGCAAAACTGAACTGGATTTACTCTTCCCACCAGCTATTTCCTTCATCTGCTGTCTAGTGTTATTATTTTTTAACTTCATACAGCTCCACTTCCCAGACTGTTGTTTATAAGAAATAGTATAAATAGTAGACGCTAGCATATTTGAGTTAATTTGCTAACTTCCTGCAATTAGCTGGCCAGTTGGGACTTAGACTCTAAACACCCTGTCTTCTTCCAAGAGGTGCTGTAGAAATGCAGACGAGGGATAGATCATAGTGAGAGTGGAGTGAGGATTACTAGAAATGATACTTGAATTATGTCTTTAAAGAATCTTAAGTAGCAAACAAATGAAGGGGAAGTCCAGGCAGAATGATATGGACAGGTTTGATCAAATCACTCTGTTGCTTAAATACTCCGTAGATTGCTGAGGAGCTCTAATTTCTTAGCTTGGCATGCTGTACCTTCCTAATTTGGTTCTTATATACCTCTTTGGCCTCATCTTCCATCCCTTTACATTGCTGTCTGGGATTGTTTTGCTTCTTTCTGAAGTACATCCTTTAGTGTTCATATAGTACACGTGTGTTTGTATGAACTCTTAATTTTCGTGTATCTGGAAATTACTGTTTTGCTCTTATTATTTTTAAAAATTTTAAATTTAAGTATAGCTATTGAAGAAAAGTGCCCATTTCTAATGCACAGCTCACTGAATTTTCACAGATGAGTACTTTTCTGTAATCATTAGCCAGATCAGGAAATGGAATAGTCTCTTTCCTGTCCTCTTTCAGTTACCAAGAGTTTTCAAAGTTACTCACCTTGACTCCCAACATGAAAATTAGTATTTTTTTTCTTTCTGAATTCTGTGGGATAAAATAATACACTGGTATTCTTTTGTGTCTGACCTGATTTTCCATAGTCGTTGTTATGAATTTATACACCCATGAGCAGTATTATGACTTTCACTTGCTCCACTTTCTCATTAATACTTGGTATTATTAGTTGTTTTTTTTGTTTGTTTTTTTTTTTGTTCTTTTTAGTTTTTGTCATTCTTTTGGGTATAATACTTCATTGTGGTTTTAATTTACATTTTCTTTGATATAAGATGTAGGATACCATTTTTTTTCTGGAAGTTTGTACCTCTTTTTTTTTTTTAACTGAAGTATGGTTGATATACATACTATATTAGTTTTAGGTATACAACATATTGATTTGACAATTCTCTATATTGCTCAGTGTTTACCTTGATAAGTGTATTATCTGTCACCATATGTTATAATATTATTGACTATTTTCCCTATGCTATACTTTTAATTTCCATGACTTCTTTATTTTGTAACTGGAAGTTTATATCTCCTAATCTCCTTTAGCTCTTTCTCCCATCCCTTCAAACCCTTCTCCCTTTTGGCAACCACCAGATTATTCTCTGTATTTATGAGTCTGTCTCTCTTTTTGTGTTGTTGTTTTGTTTTTTAGATTTCACACATAAGTGACATCCTGTGGTATCTGTCTTTGTGTGGCTGATATGAACAGGTTTGATCAAATCACTCTGTTGCTTAAATACTCCATAGATTGCTGAGGAGCTCTAATTTCTTAGCTTGGCATGCTGTACCTTTCTGATTTGGTTCTTATATACCTCTTTGGCCTCAACTCTCTAACATCCTCATCTAACTGCAGAATACTCTCAAGTTCCATCCATATTGTTGAAAATGGTAAGATTTCATTTTTTTATGGCTGAATAATATTCCATTGCATCTATCTATCTGTCTATCTATATATAGATATATATATATACCACTTCTTCTTTATCCATTCATCTATCTATGGACACTTAGGTTGTTTCCATATCTTGGCTATTGTAAATAAGGCTACAGTAAACATAGGGGTGCGTATATTTTTTTGAATTAGTGTTTTCATTTTCTCTGGGTATATACCCAGTAATGGAATTACTGGATCATAGGATATTGCTATTTTTTATTTTTTGAGTTTCCGCAAAAAAACCCAAAAAACCTCTTTTCCACAGTAGTTGCACCAATTTACATTTGCATGAATGGTATGTGAGAGATCCCTTTTCTTCACATCCTCTCCAAACTTGTTATTTCTTTTTGTTTAAAGGTTTTTAAAAAAAATTTATTTATTTGACAGAGATCACAAGTAGGCAGAGAGAGAGAGGAGGAAGCAGGCTCCCTGCTGAGCAGAGAGCCCAGAGATCCGCAGGACCCTGGGATCATGACCTGAGCCAAAGGCAGAGACTTAACCCACTGAGCCACCCAGGCGTCCCTCGTTATTTCTTTTTTTGATGCCAACCATTTTGACTTGTATGAGGTGATATCTCATTGTGGTTTTGATTTGCATCTCCCTGATGATGAATGATGTTGAGCATCTTTTCATGTGCCTGTTGGCCATCTGTACGTTTTCTTTGGAAAATGTCTGTTCAGATCCTCTTCCCATTTTTAATAGTATTACTTGTATTTTTAGTGTTGAGTTGTATAAGTTCTTTATATATTTTGGTTATTAACCCCCTTATTGGATATCATTTACAGATATCTTTGTCCATTCTGTAGGTTGCCTTTTTGTTTTGTTGATGTTTCCTGTGCAAAAGCTTTTTATTTTGGCATAGTCCTAGTAGTTTATTTTCTTTTACTTTTTAGCATGAAGAGATGTATCCGTAAAGATGTTGCTAAGGCCCATGGTGGAGAGATTACTGCCTTTGTTTTCTTTTAGGAGTTTTATGATTTCAGGTCTCACATTCAGTTCTTTAATCCATTTTGAGTTTATTTTTGTGTATGGTGTAAGAAAGTGGTCTAGTTAAATCCTTTTACATGTTGCTGTCCAGTTTTCTCAGTGCCATTTATTGAAGTGATTGTCTTTTCCCTATTGTATATTCTTGACTCCTTTGTTGTAGATTAATTGACTACGTAATTGTGGATTTACTTCTGGGATATCTATTCTGTTCCATTGATCTATGTGTCTGGTCCCATATTGTTTTTATTGCTGTAGCTTTGCAGTTATTCTTGAAATCTGGGATTGTGATACCTCTAGCTTTGTTCTTGTTTCTCAAGATTACTTTAGCTTTTTGTGGTTTTTTTTGTGGTTCCATTCAAATTTTATTTGTTTAAATTTTTATTTGTTCTGGTTTTGTGAAAAATAATGTTGGTATTTTGATAGGGATTGCATTGAGTCTGTAGATTGCTTTGGGTAGTGTAAAGATTTTATCAATATTGATTTTTCCAATCCATGAGCCTGGTGTATTTTTCCATTTGCTTGTGTTATTTTCAGTTTCTTTCACTGTCATCTTAAGGTTTTTAGAGTACAGGTCTTTTACCTCCTTGGTTAAATTTACTCCTAGGTATTTTATTCTTTTTAGTGCAATTGTAGATTCTTAATTTCTCTTTCTGCTGCTTTATTATTGGTGTATAGAAATGCACCTGAATGCTGTGTCTTAATTTTATATCCTGCAACTTTACTAACTTCATTTATTACCTCTAACAGTTTCTTGGTGGCGTCCTTAGGGTTTTTTTATGTATAGTATCAGGTCATCTGCAAATAGTGACAATTTTACTTCTTCCTTACTGATTTAGATGTCTTTGTTTTTCTTGTCTGATTGCTGTGGCTAGGACTTGGGAGTACTCTGTTGAATTAAAGTGGTGAGAGTGGACATCTTTGTTGAGGTCTGCCTTTGGCTCATGTTATGATTCCAGGATCCTGGGAATGGGCCCTGCATCAGGTACCCTGCTCAGCAAGGGGCCTGCTTCTCCCTCTACCTCTGCCTGACACTCCTCCTGCTTGTGTGCTCTCTCTGTTAAATAAATAAATAAAATACTAAAAAAAAAGAAAGAGGCTCTTAGTTCATCAGCACTGAGTATGATGTTGTCTGTGGCTTTGTCATATCTGGCTTATATTCTGAGTATGTTTCCTCTCCACCCACTTTGTTTAGAGTTTTTATCATGAACGGATATTGTGTTTTGTCAGATGCTTTTTCTGTATCTAGTGAGATGATCTTAATGTTTTTTTTTAAAAGATTTTATTTATTTATTTGACAGATGGAGATTATAAGTAGAGAGGCAGGCAGAGAGAGAGGGGGGAAGCAGACTCCCTGCTGAGCAGAGAGCCCATTGCGGGGCTTGATTCCAGGACCCTGAGATCATGACCTGAGCTGAAGGCAGAGGCTTAACCCACTGAGCCACCCAGGCGCCCCAATCTTAATGTTTTTATCCTTCCTCCTCCTAATGTGATGTTTCACATTGATAGATTCGTTAATATTGAACCATCCTTGCTCCCTGGAATAAATTGAACCATCCTTGCTCCCTGGAATAAATCTCATTTCATTGTGGTGGGGGAGCTTTTCAATGAATCGTTGAATTCAGTATGCTAACATTTTGTTGAATTTTTGTGTCTATCTTTATCAGAGATATGGGCCTGTAGTTTGGTTTTTTTTTTTTTTTTTTTTTTTTTTTTTTTTTAGTGTCTTTGGTTTTGGTATCAGGGTAATGCTGGCCTCTAAGAATAAAGTTGGAGGTTTTCCTTCCTCTCCTATTTTCTGGAATATTTTGAGGAGAATAGGTGTTAACTCTTTCTTAAATCTTTGGTAGAATTTTCTTA